CCCACCAGCCACCCTCCTGGGGGCCATCTGGAAGGCTCCCTGCTCCCTCCACGGGGTGGCGTGCAAACCCGCAGGGGTCCCAGCTCCCCCCACCCCCACCCCCCCGCATCCTGCCGCTGCCTAGGGGTCAGGGGTCATGCCATGGTATTCTGTCTCTCCTCACCCCCTTCTCCTGGGCTTCTGGGTCAGGCCGGGGCTGGAGTCCTGCTCACGCACCCAGGCACCTGCCAACCTCCCAGGCCCTGTTTGCTTGAAGCCCCTTAACACTCTCTTAACAACCTCTTAACACTCTCACCTGGGAAACATGTCTCCAGACCGGATCTGCTGCTCCCACAGAAACACCTGCCTCCCCGCTCAGCATGACTCTGCACACGGAACCTCGGACCCACCAGGATTCAAGCCCCAGCAGCCCAGCCTTTTTGGGATTGTCCAGCGCCTTCCTGTCCTCACCAGATGCCCAGCCTAGTGTCCTGCTCTCCAGCCCTGTTGACGCGTTCCTTCTGGTGGGTCTGCCACAGAAGGGCACCTCGTGGGAAAACCACGGAGCCCCTGGACGCATGCCCTCAGCTGACCCTTGCACCGCCCCTGAGACCGAGGGCACAGTGCCCCACCCCCACCTGGTTCATTTGCCCAGAAAAGACCCTCACGCTGCCTCTCTTCTCCCATCATGGCCACTTGCTGCCACGTCCCCATCCCTCCAAGCACAGCTCTCTGACCCTTCCTTGCTTCCTTCCTCCCCTACAGGCCCCTAAACCCAATGGGCACCTCTGGCCTCTCCGTCCTTGGCCCGCCACACTCCCGGCTTTCCTACAGGGATGGCTGTCTTCCTGCCAGCCGTCCCGGAAGTGGTGGTGTTCCTTGGGCTCCGCGCAGGCTGTCGCTGCTCAGGCTGCCCGGGTTCCCTGCAGAGGCTCCAAACCCACAGTTTCAGCCCAGATGGCTCTTCTGCTCCCACAGGGTTCCTCCTGGGGTCCCCATATTAGCACACAGCCCTGGCCAAGTTGGACATGCAGGGATCCCCCCTGGCTCCTCCATGCCCGCCTCACCTGCACACCCAGTCTGTCCCCAGATTCCATCAACCTTGCCCCTGAGACACGGTGAATGTCCTCCTTAGCTGCCCCAGCCCCAGCCCACACGCCATGGTTCCCACTTCTTGCAATCTGTGCCCCACCTTGTCCCCTCCAAGGGGTCCTGACGCTCCAAACAGCACCATCCTCAAAAACCATGAAGCACACCTGGTCCCTCCCCTGCTAAGCATGCCCCTGGGCCTGGGGGTAAAATTTGCAGGCCTTCCTCCTTCCCTCTCTGCACCTGAGCTGCCTGGTTTCCCAGACCAGCCATGACCCCGTGCCACGAGGGCTCTGCCCCTCCTGGGGGACGTGCTGGTTTTTTTTGTTCTAACTTACAACCAGGCGGGCAGCTGTGTTCTTGCCGCCTAACCCTCAGGGGGCTTGTGTTTGGGACTCCCTCTGCCAAAGCCCCGCTCCGTCCCCTTGCATCGTGGGCAGAAGACTGCCAGGTCACAGAGTAAACCTTCCCGGCAGAGTCAGCCCTGGGGGCCTGGACCACCGGGCAGTGCCAGAGTGGGGTTCCCAAAGCCACCAAGTTCCCCCCATGCCCTGCTCGGCCGTGGGAAGAGGCTGGGCTGGAGCCAGACAGGTATTTTATTGAAAGTTCACAGATACAAGAGCTCTGAGCAGGGTCACAGCTTGGAGGAGGTGGGGTCAGGGAAGACAGAGTGAGTCCCCAGATGCTGGCAGCACTCCCAAACTGGGAAGCTCCCACAGCAGCCCTTCTTGCTGGGTATCGGGTCAGAGGGGCCCCAGGAGCCTGGGGGGGCACAGGAGGGCAGGGAGGGCAGCCAGCGGAAGCCAGGGTGCAGCAGCACAAGGAGACGTCCACAGACCCCAGAAACAGGCAGAGGTGGAGAGGGTCAGGAGGCAGAGAGGGTGGGCCAGCCCGAAGCTCGCTGCCCCATATTGTACGGAGCTTCTGACGGCCTCTCTGCCCAGGTCACAGCTTCAGGGGGGCTCCAGGGCACACGCCCTGCTCTGCCCCAACCACACAGCATCCTGAGTCACATCAGGCGTGAAAACGAACATGTTTCAGTGCCTTGTCTCCACGGCCAGCCGTGCCCGGTGGGGCCTTAGTAGTCGGTGAGCGGGTACCGCAGGAAGATGAGGACAAGGATGATGCAGGATGCTGCCAGCGCAGAGCTGGTGATGTTAAACAGCCGGGCTGTCTTGGCGTCTTCCACCGCTCCATTCAGATCATTGAGAAGCTTCTTGTCCCGAACCTGAGGCCAGAGGGAGGAGGTGAGGCCAGTGGCCAGAGAGAAGGAAAAGGCTAGTACTGGGAACATCTGTGCAAAGGGCACACAGGAATTCTTTGTATTTCTTTTTGCAACTTTTCAGTAAGTCTAAAATTATTTAAAATAAAATAGGATTGTCAACAATACTCTATTATTTGATTGAAAGTTGTTGAGAGCACATCTTAAGTGTTCCTACCACCAAAAAACTACAAACCTCAAAAACAATAATTATGTGAGGTGACGGATGTGCTAACGAACCCCCTGTTGCAATCACCTTGCAGCATGTACGTGTATCAAATCATCACATTGTACACATTGGACTTACACACTGTCACCTGTCAATTGTATAACAATAAAGCTGGAATCAATAAATGAATACATAAGATGAAGGAGGAAGTTGGTCTCAGAGAGTTATATGATCAGACAATGGAGGATATAAGCGTGCTCTACTCTGAATGGGGTTCCTAATCTCAAATTAACAGGGATTACCTAAGAATAGGCGCTATGCATAGACAGAATAAGTGGCAGACCCCGCAGTCTCTGGGAAGGGATGTTAAGATACAGGGAGTAGGTTGGAGCCCAGGAAGTTCTGGGAAGACAGTGGGCAGAGCTGGACCCATTTCCAAGATTCTCTGGTTATGAAGAGATGTTCCCGAGGAGGAGGCCACCCTCACCCAGGATAAATCTTAGGATTTCCTTTTCTTAAGCACTTTCTCCTTCCACAAAGTCCAAAGAAGTGTAGTTGGATATGTGGATGGATGAAAAGGGAAGGAAAATAGAAAAAAAAAAAAGCAATAGTGCATAAACTGCATGGATGGATGAGATGACTTAAGGAGTCATAGGGTGCGAGTGAGCAAGGATGATTGTGAAGACAGGTACAGGATGAATGGTTGTACGTGGCTTAGCTAGAGGAGCAGAAGTGATGGCAGATGGCTTGAAGGATGAATGGATGTATTGATGTGTTGGGTCAGAGGATGGATGGATGGCTGACAGGTAGAGTTGGTAAGTAAGATGGAGGAAGTTACTTAGAAATTGAGGTTAGATGAATAGTTAAGTGCACTGATGTATAAAATAGGTGAGATGAGATGAGGAGAAGTAGGGAAGGGAGGAGGATGCATAATGAACATGTATAAACACAGATAAATGGAGGGTTGGGTGACGATTTGGATGGGTTGAAGGGAATAAAAGAAGATGGATCAATGTATAAGGGATGGTGGGTGGGTGGGTGGATGGATAGATGGATGGATGGTTGGATGGTTGGATGGGCAGGTGGATGGGTGGGTGGGTGGATGG